GCTGTTCTCCTTCTTTGGGCATTTGTCCTGCTGCATCACTCCTGCGCTGGCCTCAGACAGTGGCAGCTCTGATGTCCCTCCCCTGACTCCAACGGGAAGGAAAGGAGCAGATGGTAATTTTTCAAGGTGGTATTGGAGCTTCTCATTTGGGGCGGGATCCCGCCCTGCACTGACAGTTCTTTGAGAGGGTCTATTCAGCACGTTCAGACTATATTCGGTCCGGCATCTATTCAATTTGATGTTCCAAGTCAAGAAACAGAGAAAGGTGACTGGCTGTGAAATGAAGGAGCAAAGCTGCCTGGGCTCTGCTTCTGGTGCTGCTGCTGCTGCTGCCTCGCTGGGCACCTTGGGCGGGTCCAGGCCTCAGTTTCCCCCTCTGTCTTTTGGAGGATAAGGATGGGGCCCTTCTAAGGGAACATCCAGAGAAAGTCGGAAATTCTGGGCCGTGGAGACACCAGCTGTGAGTGTCTTGTCAGGATGTGCCAGCAGAGGGCGCTGCTGCACAGCACTTGGGGCGCTCAGGCGGAAAAGACCAGCCTGGCTGCTGGGGGAGAGTTTCCCTTGCCGGTTTCCCCACGCTGGGCTGACAGAGGCAGACCTAGCATGTACTTGGGCAGTGAGAGACATGCTAACCTGGAGGCTCAGGAGGGGTCTGAGGGTACCAGGGTGGACCTCTGTGGGCTGAAAGAGGACCCATCCGCGGCTTCTCGCGAGCTGTGTCCTTGCATCCCAGAAAAGAGAGGTAACGCCCGGGATCTCTTCACCCGCCTTGATTCATCAAGGCCTCAGATGTACCAGGCTCCTTCCACCTCAGAGCTCCAAGCTGGCCCAGTGCTACTCCATCTCATTGAATTCTGTGAGGCAATTCCCCATTTTACAGATAAGAAGATGAGTCTCAGGGAGGTTAAGCAATTTCTCCAAAGCCACACAGCCAGTAAGCAGAGGATTACAGATTTGCACATGATGTTCACTCCAGGGCCCAGCTCTTAACCAAGGTGCTTCCTCCCAAGACTCATAAAGTAGAAGTGACTTTCCCAAAAGCTCTTGCCCCCATCTCCACTCCTAAATGTCCTCACTTCTCTGCCTCAGTTTCTCCACCATCAGTGAGACGGTATTAACATTTGCCACCCACAGTCATATACTTAGGGCTCCCCAAGCAGGTGCCTCAGTAATCAAGGGGAGTGCCCTGGGGTGCCCTCTGACCTTTCCCCTGACAAGCTCCGGTGGGCGGGGCTGGCTCTGTGCGCATCTGAGAGGAAGGAAAGCCTGGCCTCCTCAGCCTTTTCTTCTCAGCTGACGGACATGGGTGGGCTGGTGCTGAGGACAAGTGGAGGTTGGGCAGCAGGGGAGCAGGGAGATCTGGGATGGAGGGGTTTCTGCAGAAGAGGGGCGTGGGGGCTGGGCGATGGAAGCGGCCTTGCAGCTGTTGAGGTCACATCCGGAAACCCCTGCTGAGCACCTGCTGTATGCTAACCTGCCTGGGCTGCAGAGAGCTTGAGATGCTGATAGTGAGAGGGGAGTTCGTGCTAGGAATGTCGGCCCAGCTCTGCTGTGTGGCGGGTCTCCTCCACCATGCGCTCATCAGACATCAGCTGCAGGGCTCTGGGGAGGACCAGGGAACCTCACACCACGCCTCACCTGAAAAGAACAGAGGCCGGAAGGGACGATAGAGAGAAAGTCTTGAGGGTAGACTCAGAAGACTTCGAAAGGAGATGGCATTTGAGCCGGTCCTGAAAAGACGAGTGGGATTGTGACCTGCGGAGGCAGGGGAGAAGGGCCTGATGGGAGAGGGAACAGCCTGAGCAGCACTGGGCCAAGAAAGCCAGGGAGCCGGAGGAGTTCCACTTGCCCAAGCTCGGCCAGAATGGGCAGTCCACCCTCACTCCAGCACATGCACACTCAGCGGTCTCCCATGCCCTCTGGGTGAGGATGTGGGACCGGGACCGGGGGGTGGGGGTTGGGAACTAGAACTGTCAGTATGTTCTGCTCCAGGGGAAAGCCCAGGTCTTCCCATCTGCTGAGAGTCTTTGGATAAACTGTTCTTTCCTTCAGGGCCCCAGCTTCTCTGTCTATTAAAGGAAAGGCCAGACTAAAGACCCCACGCCTTGGGGAAAGAGACAGGGTGCGACAAAACCCTCAGCTCTGAACCCACCCAACTCCCACTGCTCTCTGCTCCAGGGTCAGTGTGAACGTGGCAAACAGCACGCTTCCTGTTTTTAAGAGAGGGGAGATGTTCAAGGACTCCAAAGTCATCTCATTTTTGATGCAAGTACAAAGGAAAGAGTTTAAAAGAACAAAATCCCCAAACCATATGGATTAGATTTTCTCCAAAATAGACAGAAGTTTCCTAAATGACAAAAGCTGTGCTTGGGGAGAAGGCTCAAGAGAACCAGCCTTAAATGAGGTACGAGTCTATCCGGGGCGGCAGGCAGAAGGGAAGTCGCCGCTGCCCCACGCCTTGCACAGTTCCGCTGCAGCCAGGCCTCCCGGCAAAGCAGCCGGGCTTCGCTCTGCTCCTGCCTGTCACTTCGATCCAGCCACATCTCCACCACAGGGCTGCTGCCTGGGGCAGCCCCACCTTCTCCCTCCTGCCTGCCAGCCTTGCCCCTTCCATTCAGGCTCCTCACAGGAACCAAGGCGGCCTCGCTGTCCTTCCATCCCCCTTCCTCCGCTCCTCCCCTGACTTCAGTCTCCATAGAACCAGAACGTGCCCCTTCTCTGCCTTTATTGGTGCCTCAGCCATTTATCTGACAAATTAATGCTTGAGGACACAGTGCTAGGTGCTGGGCACACAGCCCTGTCCTCTTAGTGCATCCTTCCCTACTATAGTGTTAATAATGCTCCCTGAGACTCCCCATGCCAACTCCAGGGCTCCCTCTCCCTGTGAATCACCAGAATTTGGCATTATATCTTATATTAGAGCATGTGGTCGCCAGTCTCCAAGATGACCCCCAGTATCTCTCACCGTTCATGCCCTGTGAGGTCTCTTTCCACATTGAGTTGGAGCTAATCTTTGTGACCAACAGAGTATGGCAGAAGTAGCAATATGTGACTTCTGAGGCTCAGTTGTAATAGGCATCACAGCTTCTGTCTTGGTCTCTGGGATCACTTGCTCTGGGGGAAGCCAGTCACCATGTTGTGAGGCCACTCCAGCAGGCTCGTGAAGAAGCCCACAGGTGAGCAACTGAGGCTCTTTATCGACAACGGGCACCAGTTTGCAGCCGTGTGCATGAGGAGCAGACCCTCCAGCCCCAGGCAAGCCTTCAGATGACGGCAGCTCTGGCCAACACCTTGACCACAACTTCGTGAGAGACCCTGAGCCAGAGCCCCCACCTGAGATAAGCATAATATTAAGAGCATGGACTCTAGAGCTAGGTAGTGTTCAAATCCCGTCTCTACTGCCTTCCAGCTCTGTATCCTTGATTTGGCCACTTAACCCACCTGTGCCTGGACAGCCTCATCTGTAAAGTGGGGTGCTAACGGTACGTAACTGAAGTCATACTTAATATCAGTGTGTCAGTGCATGTAAGGTGCTCGGCACCATGGTTGGCAAGCAGTAAACGCTCAACAAACCTTACCTCTCACCATTGCCACGGCCTCTGCATCCAGACCTGCGCTCGCGTCTGTGTCAGCACAGAGCAGCCCCCGGCCAGTGCCGGCTGGATGGATGGGCCGCAAACTGCTCTTCCAGACCAGCCCAGTCCTTCACCCAGCATCCCTCCTGCTCCAGATCCTTCCTGCGAACTGCTCCCACAAGACAGCTCTCAGTCTTGAAAAACTCAAGGATCTCTTCAGCCCCACGAGCAAGCGAGGTTCCTCCAGCTCCCTCAGGCACCGCGGGCAGGTGGCTGCAGGGCTCCCAGCCCCACGCAGCTCTGGAAGCCACACATGCGGGAAGGGGGAGCCGTACCTTGGACCCAGCTTGGACTGCACAAGGAGAGAGCGGTTCCAGCATCTAACGCACCCGGACACCCCCCACCATAGTCTGCTTTGTTGAGGGCAGAGAGAGCCCAAGGATGCCGGCTCCCTACCAGCCCCGACCCGGGCCTGCGGAACAGAAGAGGGACCAGGCCAAACCCCCGACTCCGAGAACAAAGCCAAGGAGTCTTCCAGCAAAGACGCCTCTATTTCTTCCATCACACTCCCAACCCCAAGTCCCCTGGGCCAAAGGGGAGTTGTAGGAGTGCCTCAGAAATATTAAAAAGTGGAATTTTTCAAAAGAAACTCTTCAGTGTAACTGGAGTGTGGCCAGCTGATCTCTCTCCCCTCCTCCTCAACTTCTTCATCCTCAGGAACGGTGGGGAGCCGGGGTGGGGGGTGTTGCCCTGGGTGGAGGACAGGAGCATGCGGGTCAGAGGAAGTGGGGAGACGTGGAACCAGCAACACAGGACAGAGTGGCTGTGACTGTGGGACACATGTGTGTGACTAGGCATCAAAGGACTGTTTCAAACAAGAGCCCGCATTCACGTGCTCCGTCCCAGGAGTCAGGGGGCTGAGCACGCGCTGTCGTCATCCCACGTGCTGCAGCCTCCGGGCCGTCTGCATGGTGTGGGGTGAGCCTGGAGTTGGGGTCATGCTCGGGCCCCAGAAAACATGTCCACAGAGTGCAAGAAGGCAGGGCCTTGCAGATGTGCCCTGTGTCCCCAGCCTGCTGCTCCAAGGGCAGGGAGCCAGGGAAGGAAAGGGGGAGGGGCACTGAGGAAAAAGAGAGGTGAGGGGGTCCAGGGGAGGCTGGCGGGCCGCGGCTGGCTCTTTCCTTGCTGTGTGAAGACTCACTGAGGAGGGGTGTATGGGGAAGTGTGCTGAGGCCCTGCGGTCAGACAGACCTGGGTGTGAATACCGGCTCCACTGTTTGTGAGCTGTGTGAGCTTGGGCATGCTACTTAACCTCTCTGAGCCTGTTTCTTCTCCTGTAGAATGGAGATGACACCAGTGTCTACCCCTGAGGATTATGGAGATGGTCTCTGTAAGGTGCCTAGTGCATAGTAAGTGCTCAGTAAATGGAAGCTGTAAGTATTACTCCAAGCATCATATTCGTGCACCAATGCCAACAATTGTAGTGAAGTGATTTATTTACACAACCAGTCTCTGGTCTCTGCATCCCTCAGTTGTTAGCGGACCCTACTCCCTCCCTCTGAGCTTGGGACAGGCTACAGCAGGGCGGGTGGGAAGGTCTGAGGGCTGGACAAGGCAGACATCCCCTTGCTGGAGCCTCTTTTAGGGCTGCTGCCCTCCACGTCTCATTGGGCGGGTTTTGCAGCTGGGAGAGGTAAAAGGGAGCAGCCCCGGGCAGCAGGGTCCCTTCTTGGCCGGGGGATGGCTGAACATAGGGCACAGGCTGAGCTGCTCCCCTGTGTTCTTCCAGGAGAGAGGCCAACCCAGGCCTGCTGAGCTGGACACCGGGGTGGAGCCACCCGCTCGCAGGCGCAGGGTCTTCTCGCCTGCCCAGCTCAGTGGAGTGACAGGAGAGCCTGCTGGGCAGGGAGGTGGGCTCGCCTTCAGCAGTGGTCATGGGCACTGTGGCAGGGGGAATAAAGGCATGAGGGCTGCGGCCGGGGCAGACTGAGCCCTGGGAACCTTGCCCCCAGCCGCCTTGCCCCTTGGCTGATCCGCCGGTGCTGGCCCGTTCTCCAGTGGCTCCCGCGCCGCCAGCTCCTGCTCCCTCACAGTGTAGCTGCACGGGGCCTGGGTGGCTCCTGGCCCCCCGACGGAGAGGTGGGAGGCCCAGGGCTGGTGTGAAGCCCCTCCTCGGGGCTTCTGTAGTACGGCACGAAGCCTGGGGCACAAAGGGCGCAGCCCCCGAAGGCAGTGTCACTGGAGAGGGGGGCGTCCAGGCCGCCATCACTGGAGCATCCTGCCGAGACCAGCAGGAGTGGGCAGTGGACAGGACAGTGAGAGGACCCAGAGGCAAGGTCCGGGCCTGCCAGGGCAACCTGGGTCAGAGGAGACAGGAGGGTCAGGCAGGCCCCCAGATTGTGCCCAGACACCCAGGACTGGGCTGTGCCTCAAAACCACATCCCGCCAGGGCACCCGGCTGGGGGAGGGGCGTGTCTGGGATTAGGACCTACTCACCCTGCCGCCTCCATCTCTGCAGTCACCAGGCACGGTGTCCAGCTTCGTGGCCCTAGAGGGGGCTCTTACTAACTTTACAGGGCACGGGGCTTTGGGTCAAACCCCAGGTTTGCTCTTGCTAGCCAAGTGTCCTTGGCCAAGTCACTTAACTTCTCTGAGACTCATTTTGATTAATCCATAAAATAGGAATAATCATCAGACCCATATCACAGGACCATTATTAGGACAAATGACAGATGCACGTGCAGCATTCGTCCCGGTGCTCAGCCAGTCAGGACAAGCAAACATTTCTGTAGAGCTCGGCTAAGCCTGGTATAATAATCGCATTATTGTATGTAATTCTCACAGCAGCTCTAAGAGTAGCTACTCTTGTCATCTCTATTTATAAGGAAATGAGGCTCACAGAGGCTTAACCGTCCCCAGGCCACTCTCCCAGCAAGTGTCCGAGCTTGGACTAAGGCAGTTGGCCTCACAACAACACAAGGCTCCAGGAGACCCAGTGGGCCTCGGGGGGCACTGGCCAGGCCTGCTGGGGTCTGGGGCCCTGGGACAGAGGGCTACAGGGTGCCAGGGGCCCAGTGCTGCTCCCTACACCCCTCCGTGGCCTCCTCCACTCACAGAGCACCCGCAGCTGACTGTCGTCCTGCAGAAGCATCCAGCCTGTGCCTCGCTCCTGGTGGGTGGGTCTTGGGAGCCCCCACATGACCTGCCAGGAAGGGCCAGGCTGGGAAAATGCTCCTCCTTGGAGCGGTAGTGAGGAAAGAACCCTCCATTCGGCTCCGAGTCCTCTGGGAGCGGCACCTCTCCGATGCTCGGGTCTGCTGCTTGGGGCCTGCACACCCTGGGCTGCAGGGCTGACTCATCCTCTGCCAGGAGCTGCCCATGGGTGCGGTAGAAAGGCAGGTACTCCACAGCCACCAGCGATGCAGGGGGGAGGTCGAGGTGGTGGAGGGGCTCCCTGCCGCTTGCACAGGTGGCCTGTAGCTGCTGGGATAGGGGCGCTGGGTCCTCCTCCTCCAGGAGGCTCTGAGAGGACGAGACTCTGAGTTCAGCCTCACAGCTCTTCTGGGGAGTCTGGAAGAGAAGGGTGTGCCATTGGTTAATGCACCCCAACCTCCCCGGCCCCTCCAGCCCCCTCCCCAGTGCCTGCTGACATTGGAGGGCAGGGGGGTCTTTCCAAAGCACAAACCTGAGTGTGGCTCTCCTCTGATAAAAACCAGCAGTGGCTCCCAATCATGGTAGGTTACCCGCAAGCCTCGAAGACCTGCCCTGCCAGCACCTGCACCCTCAGCTTGCATTCTTCTCCCCCGGCTCGCTCCACTCCGTACACACGGGCCTTCGTGCCATTCCTCAGTCACGCCAAGCTGGTCCTGCTCTAAAGCCTGTGGCCAGATCTGCTCTTCCACTCTCAGCTCAGAGGAGCCTTCCCAGCCCCTGCCTCTCCCCAAGGTGACTCCGGATCACTTCTCCCTTCATTTCTCCCTCACTGAACGGTTCTCCTTGGTCTGTGGTCTGCCTGCTCTGTGTGGGCGGTGGTCTTGTCTGTCTGGTGCTCCTGGCTCATTGTAGAGGCACTCAACTGATACTTTTTCAACAAATGATCAGTCTAATCTACTGACTTTCAGCCCATCTCACATTCCCTTCGCTGGCCATACAGACCTTCTCTCAGTCCTTCTCACTCAGCAAGCATCCTCCTGCTACTGGACCTTTGCACATGCTAATGCTCCTGCATGGAATCTCTTCCCCCTCCTTTTTCCTAGTCACAACTTCTTCAGCTCTTGGCTCAAGGTCACTTGCCTCCCTTCCCTGATTTAGTTGCATCCCTCTATTACTGATTCCCAACACCTTGCTACCTCTCATGCAGAGCACTCATTCCTCTGCTGTGAAACATTCGTCTGCAGGGTTACTTCATTAATGTCTCTCTTCCCACTGGTTATAAATTCCACCAGGGCAAGACCCAACTCTCTTCTGTATATCTTCAGGGCCTAGAACATATGGTATATGTTCATGGCATATGGTAGATACCAAATATTGGAAGAAATGAAAGGAAGGTGGAAGGTGAGAAAGGAGGAAGATAGAGAATATCAAAGTGGGTTTGGCCAAGAACAAAGTCCTTACCAGACCCAACGTCAATAAGAGGAGAAGCCATGTCTTGGGGGAAGGGAGGGGGAGGGGAATGAGCAATCACTTCCCAGGCCCAGAGGGGACAGTGAGCCCCAGAGCACCTGCTAGTGGAAAGCCAGCCATTCTCCACCTTTGCCTGTCAGGGCCCGACCCAGAGCCCATGGGTCATGGTGGGGCACATGGGGTACACTGTGGACTCTGGGTTCCACGGGAAGGACCTATTGTGGTCTGACCCCTGGCCTTCTTGATCCTTGCTGGGGCCTCTGGGCCTTGAGTCCCCCTCCCCCACCACAGGACACATGGTCCTTGCTTGTCCTAACTCCTCATGTGCAGCTTGACTACTGCCGTCCCCGTCGTAAGTCCTAACCCTCAGTGGGTGCCTGTTGTCCCACAGACCACGAGATCCTGGAGAACAGGACCCTGGGTCCCTCCTCTGAGTCCCATGTCCAGCTGGGGGCCATCTTGGCTGAGTTTCTGCCACTCCCCAGATCCTCCATCGGTGCTTTTTCTCCCTCAGGTGACCCTTAGGAGGCCCTGAGGACAGGCTTCTTTTCCCACTTGGCTGTGCTGAAGAAATAGAACAGGCCAGTGGCTCTGCCAGGCTTTGAGCCAAAGTCTGCCCGGCTCCAAAGTCTGTGCTCTGTCACTGTGACTTGTATGGAATGGTAGATTGACTTGCATCCTCCATAAGATGTGTTGAGGTCCTGACCCCTGCCATCTGTGAGTGTGACCGTATGTGGAAATAGGGTCTTTGTAGATGTCACCAAGTTAAGATGGGGCCGTACTGGATTAGGATGGGCCCTAAATCCAATGACTGGTGTCCTAAGACCAAGGAAACGGGACACAGATGCAGTGAGAACGTCACGTGGCAATGGAGGCAGAGATGGGAGGGATGCAGCCACGAGCCAAGGAACGCCAAGGATTGTCGGCAACGGCCAGAAGCTAGGAGAGAGAAAGAAACAGCTTCTCCCTCTGAGCCCCCAGGAAGGAACCCTGCCCACACCCTGATTTGGGACTTCTGGCCTCCAGAACCGCGAGAGAATACATTTGTGTTGTGTTAAGCCTCCCGGTTTGCGAGATTTGTTACGGCAGCCATAGGACGCTAACTTACACGGCTGGTTGGATGGCTGGTTGAGTGGACGAAGGGACTTGGCACAAGGCTTGTAGGGCTCTCCAGCGTGCCCCGGGGAGCAGCTCGTGGGGAGCGGTCCATCGCCACGGCCGCAGTGCCCCTCCACAGCTGGGCTCACCTAGGCCTTACCCTTCCTGCCATCCCCTGGCGCTGGCCCAGGGCAGACCTCCCTGTGGTGGGCCAGGGCTCTCCCACACCGCAGTCTTCCCAGCCAGGGGGCCTTGGCTCCACTTCACCAAGGAGTCCCGGACTGAAGGAGGCTGGGTGTGCCTCCACCCACTCCCAAGAGGGGCTCGGCCAAGTGGCACATGCACAACGCCGCTCACGCTGTCCCGCGAACGCTACTCCAGCATCCACACTGGAGTCAGCAGGAGCCCCAAGTCGTGAGATGATTAAGCCTCATCTTCAAGCTCTGGCTGAAGACAAAGCTTTCTCCTGGCCTCCTCCTCCTCCTCTGGCAAATCCCCTTCTGCCTGTCAGAGAAGATTCCATCATGAAGTCATAAGACCTGGTGCCAGGCAAGAAAGCCAGATGGCTCCGTTTCCATGGAGACTCCTGCCCAAGGGCCCAATACCTGTGATCATCACCTGCCTCTTAATTCAGCTTACTCCACATCTCCCAAAAGTTTTGGGGGAAACAAAGGGAAGGCAGATGTCTTCTGGAATTAGATCAGTTCTCCACGACAGGGCCAGTGACATCCCCGGGGGACTTCCGCCCAGACACTCTCAGAGTGCCCCAGTGCCTCCCGTGGATGGTGAAGAGGGTTCCCGAGGATCCACTCTGCTGCCCAGGGCTGCTTCTCACCTGGGTGCCTCAGTCCCCTGGGGATGCTCTGGGTCTCTGCTCTGGCCACTCAGTTTCAGCCGCCTCTCCTCCGTGGTTCTTACCATCACTCATGGGCACGAAGTGAACTAGCCGTGGAAGGACTGGCTATGCCGAATGCCTGCTTTCTCCTGCAGAGCCACCAGCCCCAGCTGCCCTCCCAGGTATGACGCTCCTGCTCAGAGGGAAGAGGGCAGTTGTCACCTCCCAAGTGTCAACTCCTGCACTGGGCAAATCCCATGTGGTATCCCATGCAGTCCTCACGACAGACTCTCAAGCAAGGCAGGAGGTGTTAGCACCATTAGGCCATTGTACAGGAGGAGAGTGGAGCCTCCACTTGAGGACAGCCTGGAGGAGAGGCCTTCAGTTAGTCTTCAGACTTAGGGCTCGAGACCGAGATGCCCGGCACACCGCCCAGGGCCATGAGGCCTGGGCATATACACGAGCTCAGGCGGCCCCAGTTTGCAGGATTCTAAGCAAAACATGACCCAGTTGGGGTCCCAGGGCCCAGGCAGGCCTTCCCCCATCTCTCCACCCTGGAGCCCATCTACTGCTGGGCCATTTCAGCTTGCTTTTCCTTTTTATACTCTAATCAATGTGGATTTTATTTTTTGTAAGTAGTGATAGGTAAGTCTCTAATTGTATTTTATATTTTGAATGGTTAGTCAATTGACTCAACATTTTGTGTGTGTGTGTGTGTTTGAGTGTGTGAGGAAGATTGGCTCTGAGCTACCATTTGTGCCAATCTTCCTCTATTTTATGTGGGAGGCTGCCACATCATGGCTTGATGAGCCACGGCTGGTCTGCACCCGGGATCCAAACCTGGGAACCCCCGCCCCGGAAGTGAGTACGCGAACTTAACCACCATGCCTCTGGGCAGGCCCCAACTCAACATCTTTTTTAGAAAAATTTATTTCTTTCCCAATCTGATTTGAAATACCAAATACCAAAATAACCACATTCTAAGTTCTTGACTGTTTCAAACTTGTCAGTTTCTCAAAATTGTTTATTCTTCTGTCCTTCCCTGTGTCTCTCTTAGTGCCAATACCATATTGTTTGGATCTCTTTAGTTTTATCATCGTTTTAATTCATGTTATATAGTCATTTTTTTAAAAATCAACTTTACTGAGGTCTAATTTACGTACACCACCAAGTGTACCATTCACCAATGTGTACGGCCATGTGACAGTCCCAAAATTAATATACAGAAATCCCTCACTTCAGGAGTCTCCCTTCCCCTGCTTCCCAACCCCAAGAAACCACTGATTTACTTTTTGACACTAAAAATTCGTTTTGCTTGTTCTAGAATAAATGGAACCAGACAATACATATTCTTTTGTGTGTAGTTTCTTTTCTTCAGCATTACATTTTCAGATTCATCCTTGTTGTGGCACATGGTTTGCTCCTTTTTATTGATGAGTAGTACACCATTGTGTGGTATAACAGAATGTGTTTATCCAGTCATCTGTGATTAGACATTTTAGTTGTTTTCCTTATAAACAAAGCTGCTATGAACAGTTATGTTCAAGACTTGGCGAAGACATCGTTTTCATTTCTCTTAGGTAAATACCTAGGATTTGAATAGCTTGATCATATGTTGAGTGTATGTTTCACTAAATAAGAAACTGCCAAACTGTTTCCAACGTGGTTGTACTATTTTTACCTTCCAAACAGCAGTGTACGAAGTTCTAGTTACTCCGCATTCTTGCCATCACTCTAATTTTTGCTCTTCTGGTGGCTATGTAGCAGTATATCATTATGGTTTCACTTTGCATTAACGACTAACAATGTTGAACATCTTTTCATGTGCATATTGTCAATTTATATACCTTCATTTGTTAAGTGTCCAGATCTTTTGCCGATTTTAACAACTTTATTGTTATAATTAAAGTACAATAAACCGCATATATTTAATGTGTACAATTTGGTAAGTTTTTACATACGTCCACATCTGACAAACCATCACCATAATCAGGATAACAAATATTTCTATCAACTCCCAAAATTTCCTCATAAATTTTGTAATCTGTCCATCCCTCCAGTCCTATACACAGGTAACCACTGATCAGCTCTCTGTCACTACAGATTTTACATTTTCTAGAAGTTTATATAAATGGAATCATACAGTATATACTTTTATGTGGCTTCTCATATGCAGCATAATGCCTTTGAGATTCCTCCATGATGTTATATGTCAATGGTTCATTCCTTTTATTGCTGAGTAGTGTTCCATTGTATGAACGTACCAGCATCATTATTCCGCCATAGGTAGTGTACCATCTTTCTCTAGCTGTTTTGAAGCTCTTTTCCTTTATCTTTGGTTTTCAGCCATTTGTGATGTGTCTAGCCATGGTTCTCATTGACCATATCCTTTTGGGGGTTGGTAGAGCCTCTTGAATATGTCAATTTATGTCTTTCACCAAATTTGGGAAGCTTAAGGCCTTTACTTCTTCAAATATTTTTTCCTGGTTTATTTCTCCTCTCCTTCTGAGACTTCAATGATACACATGTTAACTTTTTAAAAATGTATTTTCCCACAGGTCCTTGGGGCTCTGCTCCTTTTTTTCTAATTCTCTTTTCTCTCTGTTTTTCAGGTCGTATAATTTCTATTGATCTATCTTCAAGTTTACAGGGTTTTTTTTCCCTCTCATCAGCACCAATCTGCTATTGAAATCATCCAGTGAATTTTTAAATTTCAGACTTTGTATTTTTCAGTCCTAACATTTCCATCTGGTTCTTTTTTATATTTCTATTTCTCTGCTGAGAACTTCTATCCTTTTATTCATTCCAAATGTGTTTTTCTTGACCTGATGCAGCCTCGTTATAATAGCTTCTTTGAAGTCTTTGATAATCCCAACACATGGGTCACCTTGGGGTTGGCATCTACTGTCTTTTCCCTTGAGAACTGTCAACATTTTTGTGGTTCTTCATGTGTCCGGTAATTTTGAATTGGCCCGGATGTTGTGAATGTTATGTTGTGTAGATTTGGGTCCTGTATATGATCCTCTGGAGAAAGCTGTTTTTGTTTTAGCAGGCAATCCACTCAGTTAGGTTCAAGCTGTAAGTTCTGTCTTACTTTCTGAACACAGTGGTTCAAATCTAAGTCCAGTTCTCCAAGGCTTTGCTGTATTGGGTTGGGTCTGTCCTGAGCATGCATTATTTAGCGATTAGGGTAAAAAGATGTGTTCCTAAAACCATACAACTCCTAAAAAAAAAAAAAAGATGTGTGCACATGGTTGAAATTTCTGGTTCTTAAAGCTCCTCTATGCGGGTGTGAATCTGACCCTCTCCTGCATAGCTCAGGGGTGAGGCTGAGGCTTGTCTGCACTGATTCAAAGAATTTAGGGAACCGCTTTTCTGGCTCTCTCTCCTCCTGGATTTGCCCCACACTCTCTGTCCTCCCAGGGTCCTCCTTCTGCCACTGCTGCCTCACTCCTGTGCAAGGGGAGACTGCCTTCTGGGTAAAGCCATGAGCTAGAGAGAGAGAGACAGAGCGAATACTTGGGAAAGCTAGCCCCTACATAGATCACATGTCCACTTGTTTCCTCCACAATCTGTTTTGCTTACTTTTTAGAGTTCTCTGGCAGTTGGTGTTTGTATTTTGTTCAGTGAGTTTTCAGTGATAATCAATGGCAGGAATGGGCTGTAGTGAGCTGACGCCCTCATGCTGGCACTGGAACCTCCTTTTTAAATATTTTCTGTAGGGTTGTTTGTCTTCCTATTGTTGTGTTGTAAGAGCTTTTATGTATGCTGGACAGAAATCCTTTTGTCAGAAATCTGTATTGTAAATATTTTCTACCAAGCTGTGCCCTGCCTTTTCATTTTCTTAACCATGTCTTTCTAGGGAACACAAGTTTTTAATTTGGATGAAATCCAATTAATTTTTTTCATTTGTGCTTTTGGTATCCTTTCTAAGAAATCTTTGCCTATTCCAAGATTGTGAAGATTTCTTCCAGAAGTTCTATAGCTTTAGCTTTTATATTTAAGTTTAGGATTCTTTTGAGTTAATTGATATGATTTGAGGTGGGGATCAAGATTTATTTTTCCATTTGGATATCCACTGTGCTGACACCATTGGTTGAAAAGGCTTTCCTTTCCCCCATTGAAATAACTTAGCATCTTTTTCAAAGATCAATCATATATGTGTGGTCCATACAACCTGGACTCTCTGTTGTGTTCCATTGATCTATACCACACTCCTTGATTCTTGTCATCAGAGTTTCTCAGTCTTGGTACTATTGACATCTTGAGCCAGATAATTTTTTTGTTGTGGGAGGCTGTCGTGTGCCTTGTAGGATATTTAACAGCATCCCTGGCCTCTACCCACTAGATGCCAGTAGCACCCCTTCCCCGCCACTTGCGACAACGAAAAGTGTCTCCAGACATTGCCAAATGTCCCCTGGGGAAAAGAAATTGTCTTCAGTTGAGAACCATTGCTGTAAATTTACTGTATGCTTTGAAATAAGCTGGGCTAGTCTACCAATTTTGTTCTTTTTAAAAATATACTTTTACATTTTTAAAACAAAAATATAAAATACATCCTAGATGCTTTGCATTTTCATATAAGTTTATCTCTAAATATTTCAAGCTTTTTATACAGCTCTCTTTTTTAGCTGGTAAAATTCACACTTTGGAGTACA